GTTTCTAGGTTTGTCAGCACCATACCCGTGCTCGTGGGTTTCACCAAATTGGTAAACGTCTGAGACCTGCATCACTTCGGGCTTTCCTCCCACATTAACCTGACACACCGTGATATAACCGGAATAATGTTAAACCCAACTCACTCACTCACTCATCATCATTACATCTGTTTTCCCCACGAGGTTTCAACATTCCTGAGACAGGAAGCTGTTGTTGCATCCGTGAGATGGTTCAGTCCAACAACACACCAATACAATGCTCCCAGTTGCAGTATCATGGCATAACACAAATGTTTACATGACAGTATGACGGATAATAGGAATATTGAGAATAATGTTTGTGTAACCATTTCCATATAGCCATAACTGATTTGACATTTCCACAGCTGAAGAGAATCTTTGTTTTCAGAAAGGATTCATCAATGAACAAGATTTAATTTCTTGTTTCATGAATTGTCATAATGCCCAGTATGCAAGAGGCCCAATCAGAAAATAGAATATCAATATCAAGGTGGACTTGGAGGTAGTTCTTTATAGTGAGTGAGTTTCGTTTTACGGCACTTTTAGCAATATTCCAGCAATATCACGGCGGGGGACACCAGAAATGTGCTTCACATATTGTACCCATGTGGGCAATCGAACCTGGGTCTTTGGCGTGACGAGTGAATGTTTTTACCGCTAGGCTACCCCCTGGCCCCTAGGTTCTTGATAAAAAGATAGGATAAATTCTGCTTCTGATTAATTCTTTTTTTTCTTTTTTTATTTGACCAGTTTAGCACATTTGCTGTTTATGTCTCACAGCTTTAATGAACATATTTGGAAAGCGGTCATTTACTGAGATATGCCTGAAAAAGGAACTGAATATTAACAATCGTGATTTATCTCAAATTCTACCATGAATTTGGAAAATACTTGATTTTGATTGGTCAATCAGATATATCAAATAACAATAAACCCCCTCTGATTGAAATAGCTGGTTTGGCGGCCGCATCACTGCAGAATCAAATATTTTTAGAATACTACATTTATGATAAACACACTTCAGCGAAGTGATTGATATAACAAACTTCTTTTTTTTATCCCGTCTCTTTGCTGTATAGACACTGTGTATATGATTAAAACTAAAATTGGTGGTCCCTTAAAGTTTGATATAACCGTAGTTTACTGTAGTACTTCTTTTACAGTCAATGTTGGTAGGCATATTTATTATTATAGATACAACTACAAAGTTAAGGGTTCTTCAATATTCCAAGGATGTGTGGCAATATACCTAATTCGGAAAACACGACAGAATCTGCAAAGAGAATGTATTTAAAGTTTTGAGGACAGCGGAGAACTTGCTACTTGGCACTTTTCGTTACATGACTGTGATGTCGTATCTTTTGCGTTTTGAAAGGCTTGCTTAGTTTTCTTTAGGGGTGCCGGCCTCATTTCAGTTTACGAAGTTGCCGTGTTAAATGCTTTCAGTGCCTGTCATAAGTTCGTGTGAAGTACTACGGTGTAAACAAACTGCTTGAGCATATTGGGCGCCATAATTTGTTGAAAGACTGTTGTCCGTAATTCAGGTCAACAACCCACTCAAAACACTGGACTCAACCCATGCCGCTTCACTCAGTATATTTGCTAAAACAAAAGAGTTCACGTTTTATTTAGTCATGGTAGAATGGAAATAACCATACCATGTTTTCAATGTAGAGCTAGGTTACCTGTAGATTTGACTGTGCTAAATTTAACGTTTAAAACCTCATGCTGCGTGTTTATCCTCTAATTGAATTGGTTGTTTCAGCTAATCCCTTGTTAACCCTTTCTCCATAACAGGTGGGAGACCCCTTCAGGAGGATATATTCCACTCAGAGAGTTTAAAGCACAAGTAAAGTGAAAACATTCCCAGTCAGTTCCAGAGAGAAAAGATTCATAACTTTCGTGGAATGTGTTTAAATGTCGAAATGAGAGAGCTGAAATCATATTCCCCATAATTGGATTCAAATTTAGGGGTGTGGCCTAAAGCTGCCGGTTGCACAGTGCAGTGGACCGTGACAAAAAATTTCATGGGCATATATGTTGACGAAATTGCAGTGTCTTTCTACTGTATAATCTATTTTGTGATAAGGACCGTCTACAGGGTCTAGTGGTAGAGCGTCCGCCCGGAGAGTGGAAGGTCTGTGGTTCGATCCCCGGCCGCGTCATACCAAAAGACGTTAAAAGATGGTACTTGTTGTTACCCTTTCTGGCACTCAGCATTAAGGGGCTAAAACAAGGACTGGTCGGCTCAGAGTCAGTATACTGTGTCTGAGTGGGGTATTCATGTTAAACTGCGGCATGGTATATCAGTGAGCTAGCACTATAAATCGGCATCAGTCCGGACTAACACACACACATGCACGTCGCTATATAAGTGCATTAATCTTGGAAGCGACGTTACACCCCATTTCACCTCACCTCACCTATCTTGTGAATCAAACCTGGTAGCAGCAGACCGGTGGAGCACAAGCACTCCTCCACTAGAGGCAGCCACAGTTGACATTAATACAAAGTCAGCATTCGAATCAGTTCAGGGCGATTGTACCATTCCGACTATATCATGAGCACATGTTTATGAATCACTGTTAAATTGTGATAATACCAGGTGCTCACGAAAAAAGGTGACTGTATCCTGCCCTCTTGGTGGCACCATCACAAACACATGCAAAGGCAAGTCAATTTTTCACTTGAAAAAAAACATGGGAACATATGGTGCAAGTAAAAATTGGGAATTGCATCGGACATTATTTTGATTTAAGGTCATGTTTCTCATCCTAGCCAATCCTACTTTTATGGTCACCGTACACAAACACTCTATCCCTGATTCCCACCAATTCCCCCAGGTCATCAGGGTCGATGAATGAAAAATATTTTTTTCACTTCGTTCTTCCGCAAAGACAAAGTGTATTTAAAAAATATCTCTTGACGTCAGCTGCTGATTGGCAGACAATGTTCCAAAAACAGAAACACGTTTATAGACTTTCTGACATCAGTGATCTTGTTTACCATGACAGCACCACGTGACCTAGGGCATCTCCAGGGGGGTATTGCTGACAAGCACCTGACGTTCTTCAATTATTGAAAGTAAAAGTGATGCATGTACTTTGAGTTGTTACCTTCCGACCATCATTGGAATCCATTTCACCATTCCTGCACAATCAATAATGGGTCTCCATAGGCCTATTTATCCTGCTCGTGTTCGACAGCTATTAACAGCTCTGTCAACTAATGGGGAATTATTGGTAGTCTGCTTATTAGGGCTGGTACTGTAACTCCGGTCGGGTTGGGTGGGTCCTCAGTCGGACCCGAGTATCCGCAGGATGACCTGGAACTGTGGTTAGTCACGTGATATATTGTTTAATGGCAATATTTAAACAAGAAAACGCCAAGTCGCTCCTGTTCCCATTTCTTTCTGACTATGCACACATTTCTTCTGACTTTCATGTTTGAGTAAAGATTAAACTTCAGTGTATGCATGACCAGATCGTTTTATATGTTTATCTTAATAGTTTTTGCCATGGCTCCTGTAAAACAATTCTGAATTGAATAGGACATTTTGTGCCAACACTTGGGGCTGACAGTGGGTAGCTGAGTAGGTCGGGTAATAGGGGGTTGGGTACCCGGGTAGTAAATTTGGACCCGTCCCAGCCTCAGCTTATGTTGAAGTGTGGTCTTTTGTGTCATCACTGTAGAGACACAAGGGAATTTCCATTGTTTTTGGGGATTGGTTGGCCACAATGTGGATCATTTTTAGTTTCTTTGGTCCAAGATAGATATATGATAGGCCATTGATGGCCCAGCCTTGTTACAGTCTGTTTTTGATTGTTGTTAAACCTGCACTCAGCAATATTCCAGTCTCTGCCATTAGCCCGGGGGAATTCTGGGTAAAAGAGTACAGGTCCCCAGCAACCTATGCTTGTAAGAGGCGACTAAATGGATCGGGTGGTCAGGCTCACTGACTTAGTTGATTGGATGTCATTGTATCCCAATTGCGTGGATCGATGCTCATGATGTCAATCACTGGATTGTCTGGTCCAGACTTGATTATTTACAGACCGCTGTCATGTAGCTGGAATATTGATGAGTGCGGCTTAAACAATAAACAATAAACGAAACAAACAAGCCACTACTCTAAATCCTCATAAACGTTGCTGATACAAATCAATATATTGACTATAAAAAAATTACAGGACATGATGTAAGATGACCAGTTCAGTGGTAGGAGGCTCAAACTGTTGTAAGGTTCTGCAAATTACTTTGCAGAGTTGTGTCCCTTATACATGCCAGTATCAGCTGATAATGGGTTCACATTTTGGGTTTGCGTTGATAATGGTGATTTGTCAGGGGTTTCGCCAAAGTGTTATAAATATCTGTGGCCTGCATCCCCATTGGTTTTCATCCCACATTCTACCATACCAGTTTAGAATCCTGCATTCTGATTGGCTAGAAAGCAATAACAAGTCTACATAAGGTCACGATTTTGCTGATGCTGAACTAAATATTTATCGGAAGCATGTCTTTCACAAACCTAAATGGTAGGCAATTTCAAATACCAATAGTTGTGTGAATATCTGAAACAATTGTAGCAATACATTTTGAAATGAAAACCCAACAAACAACGACAAGTAGAGTTTACTGGAAAAATCAGTAAGAACACAGTTTGACATTTGGCGCTACTCTATCATGTTCTGTGATGTCACGACAACCTCTTTAAAAATCTTGGTTTTGCAGTGTTGGACATTACAATGTCGTAACAGTGAACTGGACTTGGAACTATATACACATTGCATGAGTTGCTCCATTATTAGACTTGCACAAGTCTCTAAAGCAATAATTATTCATTTAAATCATAAGTTCTAGATTATGTAATTAATAAGACAAGTTGTCCCTATAAGACACTGGAGTCCTTACTGTCCACATATCTAGACTTGCCTATTTTAAGGATAGCATTACAATACTTCCATTGACTTTTCTTTCAGAACAGCCTTGGAGCAAGGCTACTGCATTACCTCCAGGGAGTACCATTAAGTGGTATCGGCACTGGATGATTTTATTGTCTGTTTTCAAGTGGAATAAGAATTAAGGTGTAATGTGGGTTTGAAAGCACACATACATGGATTAATGGATTGTCGGTGAACCCTGACTTCGACATTTAGACCTATTTGACATTATACTCAACTGAAGCCACATCACTCATCACATACGCTATTACCGAACACTTTGTGTAGATTTTCCCATTTTGCAGGTTGAAAAGTACAAACAGGTAAGGTTTTCAAAATTCAAAACCGCACACTGACACATCAGGTTTTGAATGAAATTTACAGGTATTAAATCTATATTTGAAACCTCTAAATTAAGGCAGTAGGTTTACCTTCAAATAATACTGAACAAAAAATAATCTGAAAAGCATCATTTGTTGGTTTATTCTTTATTCTTCAAATATACAAACACTATGTGGAACCGCAAGACCAACGAGACTTGCTTGAAAAACATGGCACACATGCTATTACATTTTAATTTTTTTAAATAGAAATAAAATATGTTTGCTGGAAAATAAACATCTTTCTAATTTTAATTTTGCCTGAAACATCTGTTGAAAATAAAATAGAAAAAGCATGATGAAAATCTTTGAACACAAAAGTAAACTATAAATATCTCAATTATTCAAAGGCATCCTCAACTTTTACATCTGTGACTTTAAGTGGGCCAAATGTCAGTTAATCTCATCCTTTAACCAAAGAGTTAAACATAATTTGTTAGGGAATCATGACCAAAGGAGGTAATCTGATCCACTGACACATTGAATTTTGTGGAATGTCTGGGGAATGTAGAGGGTATTATGTCAGTGGTGATACTACTTGCAGGACAACTGATATTTCATGTGGGAGATGTTGGCAGAGACCAGAATAAGGAACAAGTGTTGTTTACATCGCAAGGTAATTGTGGCTACTGTGATCCTGGCTTAACCCAGATTAACCTTATTTAGATCTTTTTATATTAATTGGTTTATGGATTTGCTGACCGTAAAAATCAGAAAAATAGAAAAAAATATAATTCTCAATTGAGAGTTTTTTTTATGACTGCTGTGTCTGAAAAACTCATTTAACAACAAAATATATCACAAATTTATTTCATGCTTTTCCCAACACAAGATATTAAACTCACAACAGCATATTTTAATAATTGTTCAGAATCTTGGCTATCATGACACTGAATTATTGATATTGATTTTTTAAATACCTACTGACCATATCATTACACAAATGATAAAAAAAAAATTGAAAGTGCTTTTTTTTTCAGACAAACTTCAAGTACTGAGGCAAAAAATCTGTAAACCAACCAATAAAAAAATGCCTCACATTGATTTGATCCCACGGGGCAGTCACCTCAGATTTGCTGAAACACAGAAATGCATTAATCTGTGGGGAAGTGTAGGAAGTTCCATAAAATCTGCCTTATCATGTTGAGAAATACAAGTCAATGAAGTCATCTATTTTTGCCGACAGAAATATAACATATATACTTGTCAAACTTATTGTAGTCTAGACTTTGAATTTTTAAAATCCTTTTGATTACATTTCAATTCTGAATTGTTAGTTCACTAATTGTTCATGAAAATGAATATTCATATCTACAACTGTATCTAAGGGAGCTGTAGATGTGCTGCAAACTGAGGTGACAGAATATTTTGTTGTATGATTTACAGTTTTTATATTAAAAATGTTGATATAAAATTTTAAAAGAATTTGCATATCAAATTTGAATTTATGTTTCTTTTAGATAACATTGAACTCAATTAAAGACTCACTATGAACATGTATAATACATCCCACTACCCCATTACGTCTACACATAACTGTATTTTCTGTAAAAAATTGTTAATAAAAAATAAGAAAATAGGGCTGTCATATCATATTTATGGCTAGTGATGGGCATGCTTACTTATAAAGAGTACAGGGGCGGTCGGGTAGCCCAGTGGTTCAAGAGTTCGCTCGTCACGCTGAAGACCTGGGTTCGATTCCCGACATGGGTACAATGTGTAAAGCCCATTTCTGGTGTCCCCCGTCGTGATATTGCTGGAATATTGCTAAAAGCCGCGTAAAACCATACTCACTCACTCACTATAAAGAGTACATGCAGTTTGGTCCAAAGGTTGGGTAATGGGTGCTTACGGGAGCATGCTGCTTATTACAGTGAATACGGTATTTAAATATTAAAAGTTAAATCTTAAAATCTTTGAATCTTGAAACACTCAATTTCTCGACTGAAGTAAATTTCAAGATTTAGAAAGTTTTGTAACTGCAAAGATACTGTTACTTATTCAAAGTAGCTTTCAAAATGTTTGAAGCAATGTGACAGTAATTGTGCCATTAGAAGACCAAATCCAGAATTACAATTTATTAACTGTCCTGTGGTCCCCACTCTGATCTAGATTTTGGGTTGAGGCAAAATAATGATGACAAGATTTACACTGTCCAACACATACACTCATTGAATATGCCACTCATTCTAACTTGAAACAAAGTGACATTAAAATGCAATTAGAGAATGAAATCGAGAAAGTTGAATTGTCTCATGGTATAAAACCTAATGTGGGATGCATAAAACCACATGTACCTCAAGTGATCAACCTGCAACAAATTTCTCTTACTGACATGTTTTAATATGACATTGTAAAAGAATTAAAACAAATTCAAAATTGATAGAAAACAGCGGTTCGATTGAGCTGAGGTTAGCTTGTGCTATGTCACATGACTTGGAAAAGGCATGCAGCGGGGTGTATGGAATTTATTCTGCCTCTCAGAAATCCACGTGCAGCCTGACTTGACCATGGCGGGGTATAAGAGATTTATTACCCAGCTGAGAAATTTATTTCTCTTCAAGGTGGGATACACAGTATTTTATCAAGATCATGTGGACCTATCAGATCTTATCATTCTGACATGGAAGTTTGGACATGGGTGGCCCTCTCGTCTAAGGCGCCACGATTCGCTGTGCAGAGTTGCGTCCCTTGGGCACGCCAGAAACCTATGATTGTGGGTTCGAATCCCGGTTCACCCCGATTATGTTTCTAGGTTTGTCAGCACCATACCCTTGCTCATGGGTTTCACCGAAGTGGTAAATGTCTGAGACCTGCATCACTTCGGGCTTTCCTCCCACATTAAGCTGACACGCTGTGATATAACTGGAATACTGTTAAAAGCGGCGTTAACCCAACTCACTCTCACTCACTGACATGGAAGAATTATGTTTTTCGTCACATGTCTCTTCTTGAATAATTTGATCTAGATAAATAAAAAAATACAACCTATAAGAAAATGATCATAACTTTCCAGGACTTGTTCCCACACAATGTCATTCGTTACTCATGTCTGTTATCACATTGTGTCTGACTGCTATGTGAAGCTCACATTTGGGGAACAGCTTATGTCTACAGAAACATTCACGAAAGATTTATATGGGAAAAAAGATGAAAATCAAAGGCTGTATAAGATATAAATACACATAAACAATTATTTGTAGAAAGGTGTGGACTCAGAAACCGTTGATGCCTCAGATGTCAAGTCTGACTAGCAAAAACCTGTGTCAAGCTAGTGCGATAGATGTCTAGTTGTTAGGTAAATATTTCCACTAAAAGCCCCATTTTTATAGAACCCACATAGGAAGTAGAACATTTCCTTATCACTTCCATGTCTTCATTTAAACCGATAAGCAGCTTAGTGCATGTTTTTTATAAGGAACCAGCCTGTCATTTCTATTACTTATTTAAATTATCCATACATTCTTATCAATCCAAAAGTGCTTCTGTAGGATTGAAAAAAACTGAGTGATTCATGGGAGAGATAACCTCATCAGTGTTGGAACAGCAGATTGAGAGCTTGAGAAATAGGGAGCAATTTATTCCAACCGCTTACATAAGCCTTTTCTGTATCTTTGACATGTAATTGCCATGTGTTTGGGAAGAAGATCAAGAGTGTTTGGATTGTGATGAAAGGGGCTTGAAAGCTTTGGTTGTTCTCCAATAACCTGATAGGCTGATGTAACCTTGTGAGGTTAATTGCTGTTGGGGTTTCTGTAAGTCAATGAGGGTTTAGATCTGACTGTAAAATTGACACTAGGAGACAGGAACAAAGTAGCAGAGAGTCAACAAAGGGTTCAGGAATACTGGCGTGTAAACGATTTACTTCTTACATCAATAATGGATTTAATTCTGTGGATTTTGATCGTAAGTAATTTAATTGTATGTAAACTTACAGTCATTGTGAATTAAGTTGTTAAGAAATAGATGACGATTTTTCAAAATGTTGATTTTTGAATAATACAATGTGATGGAATATTTTATATGGAAATGGTCTAAATGGTTGAGAAGGCCTTATCGGTTATTATTTGTTTTTTGGATCGGCTGTGTTATTTTCTTTCTCATAAAAAAGCTTTGTCAGTGTAGATAACATGCTTCCAATCTTAAACAACTGTTCAAGCAGGTTTCTCTTATATTGAAGTCAAACATGAAGTCAAAAATGTTTTGTGGGTCTGATTTTTTGTGTTCACTGAAGCAGTTTTGTTGGATGACATAGGCAGAGGGACTTTTTTGTGTTTGTAAAGCTTTAGTCTTGATAGTCAAGGTGTCTTCTTTAAAGGGAGAACAATAGCAACAGGTCCTTTTGACCAATGGTATAAGGGTTAGTACATGTGAAGATCCGGGTTAGAATTGGTCTTCTGCAACCCATTCTTGTCATAAGAGGCGCCTAGCAGGATTGGGTTGTCAGGCTTGCTAACTTAGTTGATGCATGTCATCGTATCCCAGTTGCGTAGATTGATGCTCATGTCAATCACTTGATTGTCTGGTCCAGATTAAGTTATTTACAGACTGCTGTCTGCAAAGCTGGAATATTGCTGAGTTCTTTAAACAGCAAACAAATAGAACGGTTAGGGACCCAAAGCACAAAAATAAAGTCTACTGAACCATTAACAATGGCTTTGTACATATATTTGTTTTGGGTTGAAATAACTGTACAGCGAATTCATAT